GAATGCCATGCAGGCAGACCCTGACAGTATTTTTTAGCACACTGGCAGATAACAGAGCTGATTTGCCAGACACCCAAGCTTGTTCACATCCCTACAGTTTAATGTTGGTACATCAGGGGGAGTCTGGGGAGGAAAGGACTTACTCATCCTACAGGAACTGACGTTCTGGATGCCGGACTGCATGCAGGGGCAGAAACCTTCGTTGGGTGGATAGTCCGTGCCATTGGCAAAGAGAGTTTTTGGTGCCACGAAGCGATAGGTGGGCACACCCTGGAACTTCCCGGACTGCTCGTACACCAGCGTCAAGGATCTGGAAGGGTTTCAGTGAAGAAGGATCAGGATTAGTCAAGAGGTTCCCGGCCCAGAATTGGGCTCTTATCTTCGCTGGATAAGATGCGGTTGAAACATAACTTAGACTTTGAGATCAAGATAAACACCCAGAGCAGTGCTTTGGATGGGGAATGAGGATTTAAGCCATTTTCTTTCCATGTTTTAAGCACAGATAAAGGGCTGCTCAGGACTAGTTATGGAGAGAAACCACAGACTTACAAGTCTGTTTGCAGTATCCAGATGAGATTTGTTTAGAGGCATGTAGTAATCCCCAGGGCTGCTCTCCAAAAGATAATACCCTCTTTGTGCAAGCCTTGGCTCTGAGGTAGAAGTGCTCTGTCACAGGCGATGGGCACCAGCTAAATCCATTTTGCAGCCCAGCTCCAGCACGCAGGCTGTCAGGGGAGTGGAAAATTTTTACCTTATGAACTACATTACGCAGCAAGATTTTTTTTCTTGATACAACAGGCTAGTGATGTTATGCTGCATTATTGCTACCAGTTGGCCAGGAGAAATGCAAGTTTCCAGGAGGGAAGTTAGCTTCCTTCACACGTCCTCTTTCAAGCAAGGCTTGCACGGATGCAGATAGCCTGGGCAAGCCAAGGGGGATGCTTATTCATATGGCTGCTTTCTGACACCAGGACCAAGGATGGGGCATTCAGGGCACATTCAGCAGTTACGTGCATGCCTCTCTGCTGTGCTCACCTTCCAGCAAGGAGGCAGAGGCTGCTGCAGCACATCAGCAGGATAAAGCCTTGCCTACCTTGCAGGGACATCCAGGCAAGCGCAGCTGATGCTGAGATGCAGCTAATATGCAACAGCTCAGGAGATGAGCCATCCCATGCCCTTCCCTGCCCACAGTTTCCTGCCTGCAGCAAGGCAGATGTGCTCTTAGTCTATCAGCTGATGTTTGTGACTCCCTTCTAGCCAGCTGGGCTAGCAGAGAGGCCAAGCCAGAGATCTGGGGAGAAGACAGCACTGCCTGGTGAAGAGGCAGAACCACTTCCTCCATAGCACTGTCCCGCAGGAATCCCTACACCAACAAGAAACCAAGCTTGGTTTCCTCCCCTTCACTTTACGCCTTGCCTGGAAACATGCTCTGTTCCCTAGAAGATTTCTCTAGTTTTACAAAAACAGGTATGTGTGTTTAAACTTTGATTACTGGTAAACTTCCCTGTAAGTCCTTGGCTCCGGGTCATGTTGGTATTTGCTGATGTCCCTTGTGTAGAGGAATTCCTGCACTAATACTTGGCTCAGCTGACTATGCTTGTTCCGCTGAAGAGGTCATTGTTCTCTATTCAACATGAGCACTTGCTTGTTTTGCAGCACTATCTACAAAGCCAGAATTAACATTATCTTCCCCAAGCTGGGGACAGGGTTTTGTGCCACCGCCTTCCTCCTGGCCTCCCCTCCTTCCAGCCTCTGGTTGCTTCCACACAGGCAAGCTCTGCAGGGTACTTTAACCCCTGTGTGATCAGCTCAGCTCAGGGTGTCTTATACAGGACAGACATGCACAGCAATGCATGAACTAGGCAGTAAAGAAACAAGCAAAGCAGCAGCCTGGAAATGATGGCACAAGATCTCCTGACAGCACTTCTGCAAGTGTTCAGTCAGCTGAAAGAGTTCTGCAAACGGTTACAGCTGCGTTTCCTTGTGACAACTCTTACTTCTCCCTCTCGCCTCCCACATATTATCTAGACTGGTTATTGTCTACCGATTCAACATGGGCAAACAAGACTTCTCCAGTGACCTGGAAGGTATTTATGAATACCACAAGACGCTGCTAATTAGACAACTACTCTGTTTGTAAAGCTCAGATACCGCAACACTGAACTGCAGCTGAACATTAACTACAGAAACTAGTCCCGAGCCCTCTGCGTCACTGCACAGGCACCCTGCGTGCACAGGGCAAGCGCTGCAGCTCCTGCCACCTGCACGGGGACAGGCTGGCAGCTGTAGCCTCACCTGCAGGCATCAGGGCTGTAGAACTCCAGTGATGTTGGGGACATGAACGGTGGCCACATCTCCCCTGAGGTCCCGTTGATCATGTTGCACTCATTGCTCCGCCAGTAGTTCACCTGTAGGACAGATGTAGAGAGAAGAGCTCAGAACGATGAGCTTGCTGGAGAGTTGGCTTCCACCCCTGCATGGGACATCCACCACTCTACACTGCTTCCACAGGAGCTTGAGATAGCAACGCTGAAGACCTTCCAAGATCTTTCCCATTCAAACATCTGCCCAATTAATGGAAAAACAGGACAAGATCCCCCTGTCCCAAGTGCTCCCAAAGTGGTTGATCTGTCAATTCAGTTGATTTTAGTTAGGAGTGGAATTCCACAAGGGAAGAATAAGCACCCCTTTAACAAGGACATCTAAATAACACCTTAAACACATGCCACAGGACTCTGGGACTTCAACCATTAGAAGCAACCAGCTCCATTAGCACTTCAAGGGAGCCCAAGTCACACTGATGATGAGCTGAAGTTAATATTTCATGACAAGCCTCTTGTCACATGGCTGCCTTCTGGCACTTTGATTGAAAAGAAGTTGCAGCAGTTGAAGTCCCACAGAACCTTGCTTTCCAACCTACCACCCAGAGAGACAACAGCACTGAAAGTTTTCAGCCTATCTTGCTTTAGCTCAGGCATTGCCCTCATATTAGAGGTTCACTGCCCGACACTTACCTTCTTTAGTCCATTCCATGAATCCACCATGTGAACTCTACTGATGTTCTTCATGCCCGTGTTCACTGTGAACAGTCCTGAATTGGAGTTGTTGAGCTGCAGAGAGAAGATCATAACTTTTAATCCATTCTGTGCAGCAAGACTGCTATATGCTAATGGCTTTGCATGCTTTGTCAGCTCCAAGGGTGCCTCATGCCCGAAGCTATGAATTTTTACTTATTTCAGTTGCCAGCAACAGCTTCCAACACGTGCATTTCTGCTTCGGGGGAGAATTAAGGCAGCCTTACACAACCACCATCAACTACACATGGCTGCTCCAAGCAGTTTGTGAAAGGGATAGCGCAGACGCTCAATCCCAACACCAATATTGCTGTGATTTTAGAGTTCCCATGCAACAGTTTTTTACTTACCTGTACAAATAAGCCAAATTTCCCCTTGAAAGGGATCAGGCCAGGAACAAGCTTATTTATTGTGTCGATAAGAGGGTCTTCATACCCCCACATGATGTCCCTCACTGTCCGGTTCATGAACGCCTCCTGTTTCATGCCAGCCAGGGCTCCACTCAGTAAAAATTTCACAAAGTTTGGCAGATTTTCCATCATTACAGCTGCTCCCTGGAAAAGAAAACAAACCTCTGAGATGAGAGCCCCATCTTTACCAAAGAGGAACCAATGCATCTTTGGTGCTCAGCAAGGTCCTTCTGCTGCACCCATCTATAGCCCTAGAGAAATCCTTTGGACAAACTGAGATTCACGTTTTATCCCCAGTTTAGGGAGAAAGCAGTTGAGGGCTCACAGGCTCCATTTCCCCAGAGGACACCAAGACAAGGCTGAAGAGTTGAGCCCAGCCACTTTGTCAGCCCCTCTGCACTGTCTGCTTTTGGAAGGGTAACAGCCCAACACGACAACCAAGAGCCAGAAAGCAGAAAACTGCATTTTATAAGCTTAATCACCTCATGGCTTGATTAGCTTTAAGTCCTAGAAGAAAGTAAGTTTTGAGTCAGTGTTGGGCATCACTGCCCTCCCGCAAGCTCAGAAATTGAATCTGCACCCATCCAGGGATCAAGTTCTTACCATCATCAAAATGTTTGGCAGAACAATGTACTCGTCTTCGCTGCCGTGGGACAAGTCTGGCTGGAAGAAGAGTTGCCGATACTCCAGGAAGGAGACAGTGTCATTGTCATGGAATGTGATATTTGTTTTATACCTGAACTCTCTGCAAAGAGATAGAAGAGATCATAAGAACTTTCCCTCACACAGTGTTCCTGCAACGCCTGTGGAGCAAGGATGGGCTGGGCTTTTTTCTGAAGAGCAAAGGAAGGAGATCAAACCCCAGCAAGAAGCCATGGGACAGCAGGGGAGGGAGCGTGCCAGGGAACAGGCGGTGTCAACATCACACCCCAACCAGGGTTAGGGTCTAGCAGGAGGAGATGGCAGCCTGGGAGTGAGGCATCCCTGACAGATGGGCTTCTAAAGCAACTTGCAGGCAACAAGTATTTCTTCCCAGCTGATGAGAAGTCCAAGACAAAAGCATAAATCCCCTTTGTCACCTCGCCTACAGCCGCTGAAAAGCCCAGCCCTATCAGAGAGACGCCCAGATAAGCAGACCTACACCAACCCACACACCAAAACAACCTGCAAAACAGGAGAGGACCAAACAAGATGGCACAAGCTCCACCAAATGAGCCCACGCTGATTTGCCCCAGATGGCTCCCAGGTTCAGGGCAGCTGAACCCTCTGTGCAGCATCAAGGCTCTCCTGCTCCTCAGGGCTTTGGGCCATGCCATCTCCTGCACACCGCCCAATACCACCCTGCTCCACACCACAGGGACAGCCCAGTCCCATGGGAGCTGCAATGCTCCCCAGTAGCACAAGGCTCTCCCCAACATCGCCAGCCTGTTGCAGCTCCTGAGGAAGCTGAAGCTCAACCCACCAGCAAAAACAAAGTCCTTTATTGTGGAGCCTCTCTTTTATGGCCTACATTAGGGAAGGGCACTAATCTTGCTCAGCA